AAAAAATTTCATAAATCTTGATAAGAATAAAATTATGGAAATTTTATATAAGCTCATATGTCGGCTACATTCTTATGTGGTTCCTATAGGATCATCAAAAATTCTAAAAATTTTGGTAAGTAAATCTGGTATGTTGTATTGAATGGTAATATTTCTTACTTTTTGTTCCGACCGAAAATGGGCTGTTTAGATACCGGATGTTGAATTTTTTAAATGTTACATAATACTTTTTATTTCAGATTTGGGTAACGCGTAAAATAAAAACAACGTTTGTCTCAAATATTTTTAGAAGAAAAATGTTTCTTATTTTACATATTATCCAAATTTGCAACAAATATTGCATTAGAAAAATTCAACATCCGGTCTAGACAGCATATTTCCAGTCTAAACCAATGGTAGGAAATATTATCATTCAATAGAACATATCAGATTTACTTATCAAAATTTTTAGGATGTTTGATATAAAATACACTTCTCCTCATTTCAAAAAGGCTATGTGGTGGTTTTGGATGATTCTGTATGCAAGGATTAGTTTGTGAATAATTTATAAGTTTACCGATTAATTGAGGACAACTAAATATATATAGGAGATTGATACATAAAAATGTAAACAACAATTAACAAATAAACGCATTCATAAATTGTACAAATGCTAGATTTTATTTTCAAGTCTATGCCGTATCTTCCATGAATTAATCTACAATGTTTTGAGAAAATCTCATTTCCATCAAATCCGCCACAGAAATCAATACGTATATAAAGTCCTCGAAATAATCAATACGTATATAAAGTCCTCGAAATAATCAATACGTATGTAAAGTCCTCGAAATAATCATTATATACTTTTTCACGTATATATCCGATATTAAGTATCGTATATTAACTACAATAGAAATACGCGAATTATTATTGAATTACGCATCCCATATAGTTACCATATTAAGTGATAAAAATATATCCCCAAACAAATCGACCTGCGTATATATATATATATATATATATATATATATATATA